TAAAGTCTGAAGATAAGTCACAGTGCAGGTGGAGGGCAGATCGAGCAAAACTGGCCCCCTTGGTTCTTTTTTTTTTTTTCCCCCTTGGTTCTTAAATGGCTGAAGTTGGGAAGCATGGGCTTTCCCCAAGAACTCTCTCTGTACCACTATAGCACTCACAGCAATCTTGTGAAAAATGAAGATTCTGAGTCAGCAGATCTGGGCTGGGGCCCAGGTTTCTGCATTTTTAAAAATAATTTATTTCTTTTTGGCTGTGCTGGGTGTTAGATGCTACACGGGCTTTTCTGTGGTTGAGACAAGCGGGGGCTACTCTCTAGCTGTGGTACGTGGTGCGTGGCTTCTCACTGCGCTGACTTCTCCTTTTGCAGAGCTCGGCTCTAGGGCGTGTGGGCTTCAGTATTTACAGTTCCCAGGCTGTCGAGCACTGGCTTGGTAGTTGTAGCATATGGGCTTAGCTGCTCCGCGACATGTAGGATATTCCCGGACCAGGGATCAAACCCATGCCTCCTACATTGGCAGGCGGACTCCTTACCACCGAGCCACCGGGGAAGTCCAGTTTCTGGATTTTTAACGGCACTGTCTGAGGTGATGCTGATGTGCTGGCCTCTTGTGACTCTAGGTTTGGTCCACAGACCAGCAGCATCAGCATCCTCGGGGGGCTTGCTGGAGGTGCCAGCCCTGGACCTGCTGTATCAGCAGTCCCCAAGAGGTCTCTGGGCACATTCTTGTTTGGGAAGCCCTGATCGTTCATGCTGCTGGGGGGCGAGGGGAGGTCCTCAGTGCGTAGTGAGCCCTGCTGAGCAGGCAGTTGGATCCCATGCCTAAATTCCTCCCCTGGAAGCAAGGTTTCCATTTCCTGGTTTCCAAACCACTTTACAAAGAGTTCCTGGAAGGATGTTTTCAGGCCTGGCATGCCCTCTCTTGGGGGCACCCTTTCTTGTTTCCAGATCTTTCCATCCTACTGTATGCCCACTTCTGCTCCCATCTGCATTTTGAGACTCACATCCTGTCCTCTGTGTAGCTGCCTCACTGTCTGGATTCTCGGAGGCAGACGCCAGTGGCTGGTGTGTGGGGAGAAGGGACATCTATCTTTCCTGGTGTGCTGCTCCCAGAGGATACAATTTCCTTGACAGATGTGTTCTGGCTGCAGCCACTCAGGGTGGGGTGAGGAGTTGTGTGAAAGGCTGGGTGCACGAGGCTTTAAAAAATCACCATGAGGACAGTGTCCCCTGGGGGACAGACGAGATGAGGAAGGACGTGCTCAGCAGAGTGCCAGCTCCTTGGCCCTGGGCCAGCTGTGTGCAGAGGAAATGGGAATCAGAGTTCTGGGGTCTCTGAGAGTAGGGGCTGCAAGGCCATTATCATGATGACAGCCTATGGGTGACAGATTGTATTTGAAAGGTGGCTGCAGCCCTATCTCTCATCTTACCTCCTTTTCTATAATGGGACTCTGCCACACTGCTGCTAAGAGGTGGAGTCAGTTCCCCTGTCTTGAATCGGGGCTGACCTTCTGTCACCCAGTGATGCTACGGGATTTCGGAGCCTGGGTCAGAAAAGCCATCCAGCTTCTGCCTGGACCTCCTGAGACCTGCATTCCGGAGGAAGCCAGCAGCCATGAAAAATCCTGACTCTGCTGAGTCTGTCGTGCTGGGGAGGTGTGTGCGGTGCTCCAGGTGGCGGTTGACAGCCAGCACCCATGCAAGAGGCTGTCCTGATGTCCAGCCTGGTCAAGCCTTCAGGTGATGCAGCCCCAGCTGGTGTCTAACTGCTGTGACCACGTTAAGTGAGCTCTGCCTAGCTGGACCTGTCTCGATTTCCTGATCTACAAAATCATGAGCAAAAGAAAACGAGTGGTTTAAGACATTAGGTTTGGGGGTAATTTGTTATGCATCCAGAGTAATTGCAGTGTTCTGGAGGCTTTAGGTTTCGTAAGTATATTCTTAAAGTGTTAGTCACTTCATCGTGTCTAACTCTTCTGTTACCCTGTGGACTGTAGCCCACCAGGCTCCTCTGTCCATGAAATCTTCCAGGCAAGAACTGGAGTGGGCCACCATGCCTTCTTCCAGGGGATCTTCATGGCCCAGGGATTGAACCCAGGTCTCCCACATTGCAGGCAGATGCTTACCATCTGAGCCACCAGGGAAGCCAATATATTCTTTAAAATAACTTGCAAATAAAATTCTCTTTACTTAGTTATATTTAAAATGCTTTTAAAATACCCAAGTGCAGTGAGTAGGTTGTTGCAAAATGAAATCCGCTCCCCACCCCCACCCCCGAAAAAAAGCCTGGAAACTGTCTAGAAAACAGTTTTTTACTAGAAAACTATTTAGTAAAAACTTGCAATTGGAGGCTAGAGTAAAATGATAGAATGACAAAATGCTGGTTTCTGTTTGTGCTCTGTTAGGTACTTTATATTTGTTCATTTAAGTTTTATTTCCACTGTGTAAGGTGTGCCCATTTTACAGATGGGAGGACTGAGGCTCAGAGATGTTAGTGAACTCACTGAGAGCCCCACAGCAGGGGCTGGGACTTGAACATGGATGAGACTGACTCTAGTGCCTGTCTTGCAGCAGATAGAAGAATTGTTAATGTTGAGAGCTAAATTTCTAAGTCTTCTCTCCTTGTGGACAAGGGTTCTTGGAATCTTGGAGAATTTTCTTTAGTGCTGGGCCCTTCAGAATCACCTGGGGAGTATTTTAAAATTCACATACCAGGCCCAGTCCATACCAAGGCTGTAGGTGTGGGATAGGGTGTCTCCAGAGGTTCTAACCCTTCTTTATTTGTCACCTCTGACCTAACCCAACCTCCCATGTTGCAGGGGGCTTCCCAAGTGACATTAGTTATAAAGAACCCACCTGTCAACGCAGGGGACGTAAGAGACAGGATTCAGTCACTGGATTGGGAAGATCTGCTGGAGAAGGGAATGGCAACCCACTCCAGTATTCTTACCTGGGAAATCCCATGGACAGAGGAACCTGGTGGGCTGCAGTCTATGGGGTCACAAAAAGTCAGACATGACTGAAGCGACTTAGCATGCATGCACTCATGCACCCAGGTTGCAGGCCCAGTGAGAAATGGGTTGTTCTGAGAGCCAGAGCAGCTTAGTGGTGGAGCTCGGGCAGAAAGCAGGTTTCCCAGCACCAAGATGGCATGTGGCCTTGTGTCTTGGAGGAGGCTTGGAGGTCTGTTAGCAGAAATTACCTTACACACTAATGCAGGGGTCTCAGGGCATTGCAATAAGATCCCATAGTAGATATGTTTTGGGCTGAGTGCTGAGTGAAACAGTCAGGGGCCAGCACTACTTTCTTCCTGAAATTTCATAAATACAAGGACAGGACAGAGATTTACGACTTGAAAAATCTCACTTGTGGGGAGAGAGAGGGGAGGAGAGGAACAGAGGGAGACAGAGAGAGGGAGGGACAGGTATATAGAGGCACAAAAGACAGATTGAATTTTAGGTCTCGTTTAGATATACTTGTAGATATACATGTATATCTACATGTATATACATGATAGAATTCAGTGTGAGGCTGATCAGACCCAGGGTAATTTGTTTTATCTGTAGCAGCTGTTCAAAGTCCAGAATAGACAGTAGATTCCGCAGTCACTGGAGAGTCACAGAGTTCCAACCTGCTGGACTCTGAGGACATAACCCTGGAGAGTGACTCCACGCTCCACACCCTCCCAATGTAACTGGGCACACAGACTAATGATCATACAAAGCTCCAAGTCTAGGGAAGAAAACAAGACTCTCAGACCGCTGACTCTGTCTGGTGGCTGGAGTGGCTCTAAGATGACCCACCATCTAGGTTTCTCCTAAGACTGAGATTTTTCCTGGTACATAGGAATTTCAGTGCTAAAACCAGGAGAGTCCCGGCCAAACCGGGACTGTTGGTCACCTGGCTGGTCTCCTAGATGAAACGACTGCTGACCTCCAACTCCCGTCCCCCAACTCCCCTCCTCCTCATCTTGGCAATGGTGCCCCATTTCCTGAGAGGCCAAGCCAGAGCCCTTGGCATCAACTCTGACCACCACCCCTACCCCCGCCTGTGCCTGTTCTTCCATTTCAGTCCTGCCTTTTGCTTCTCTCTGCAGGCACCTCTTGTTGGGATAACTGCCCTCACCTCCTCACTGTCTCTGCTCACTGCCCCGTGTTCACCACTGTTGGACATTTCATTCCATGCTTTCCTGCCAAATTCCTCCTAGCTTCAAAAGGCAGATTTCCTCAGTCTGGCACTCAAGCGCGGACTCACCCGGCCACATCTGAGGCCACTCTGAACCGAATTCAGGTGGAGAACTGGGCGGGAGAGCTGGGAGGAGGCCCAAGGGCTGAAAGCTGGCTAAAGAAGCCTGCCATCTCTGTTGTTCTTCCCCGCAGGTTTCCTCTTGGTGCTGATCCTTTTCATCCACCTGGGTGTTGCGGGTTCCCAGAGTGAGAGAGGGGTCGGGAGGTGGAGGCTTAGAGCTGTCTGGTTCCTTAACAGCAGCCCCCCCCATCCTCTTCCCGCTTCCTTCTTTCCTCTCCTCTGCTGTCTCTCCTGTCCCAGCCTTCTCTTTTCTGGAAGCTTCTTTTTCTCACTCTGCCCCCTGGTGATGGTGATGGTGGAGGGGCGCCATCTGGAGTAACGTGGAGGAGGAGCACCGCGGGTTCGTTTCTCTAGTCTTGCCCGGTGCTCCATCCCTTTCACTCCAACTCAAGTCCATTTTGTTCCCAGAGACAGCTGTTGGCCTGGTCTTGCCCCAGTCCGAGCCACCATTCTGGACTTCAACACCCAGTTCCCTTTGGGTCCCCAAGTTCTTAGGGTCTTTGTGTGTCCTCTTCTCCGCTCTTCTCTTATGCCCCCCGCTGGTCCTAGCAGGCTGGTGGTGATGAAAGACACTACAGTCTTAGTGATTCTTCCATCTTTCCCCCGTTGGAGCTGCCTGAGATCCATCAGTGGAGCTCTTGCATAAGCCGCCTCCTCCCCAATGCTCACGCCTCTTTCTTTGTTTTCTTTCAGTTTTACAGAATTTTTGGATCCCTTCCAGAGAGTCATCCAGCCAGAAGAGATCTGGCTCTATAAGAATCCTCTGGTGCAGTCAGACAACATCCCCACCCGCCTCATGTTTGTAAGTACTGCTGATTTCATGGCTGATGGGACCACTCCCCCAAGTGTGAGCCACATGGGTTTTCACTTCTGTTTTTCCACCCGCTGCTGATGACGGCCAGCAGCCTGAAGAACAGAGGCAAGTGGCCGGACAAATTAATTCCAGATTGGAATGGTTTGCTGCTTGGTCATGTGAGAAGCAATTGCCCGAGGCTTTGGAAAAGAAGGGCCCTGCTTACTTTAGCTAAACCCAAACTGTTTCCAAATACTTAAGAGTAGAATAAGTGGAGAAGGCAATGGCAACCCACTCCAGTACTCTTGCCTGGAGAATCCCAGGGACGGAGGAGCCTGGTGGGCTGTAGTCCATGGGGTTGTGAAGAGTCGGACACGACTGAGTGACTTAGCAGCAGCAGCAGCAGCAGCATGGTAGAATAAGATGAGAAACTAGTGAACAGAGTTGCCCGCTCCATCTTCTTTTAAAGTAGTCCTCGATTTAGCCATGCTCAGACACCATTAAACTGCTCTGTTAGCCACTTTTCTGGGCTTGGCTGGTCAGTTAACCAGTGATGAGACCACTGTGTGTGACTCAACTCTGGGTAGCATCTCTGATCCTAGGATAAATGGGCAAGCACCCAAATAATTGGTGGATATATTGGGACTATTTTACCTCTTCATTCTGCCCCATGTTGATTACAGCCTTTTACACTTCCCCTCCCCTGGGCGTTTCTGGTGGCTTGGGTGGTAAAGAATCTACCTGCAAAGCAGGAGCCCTGGGTTTGATCCCTGGGTCAAGAAGATCCCCTGGAGAAGGGAATGGCAACTCCAGTACTCTTGGCTGGAGAATCCTATGGATGGAGGAGCCTGGCGGGCTATAGTTCATGGTGTCATAAAGAGTGGGACACGACTGAGTGGCTAACACTACTACGTCCTGGTCCCTTGCTGAAAGCTTAGGAAGGATTATCTCACTTAGACCCACCCTGATTGATGGTGGAAGGAGAAGGGGACGACAGAGGATGAGATGGTTGGATGGCATCACCGACTCAATGGACGTGAGTTTGAGTAAACTCCAGGAGTTGGTGGATGGACAGGGAGGCCTGTCGTGCTGCAGTCCATGAGGTCACCAAGAGTCAGACACGACTGAACGACTGAGCTGAACTGACTGTTTCCCAGTGAGGAAGATGTCATTATTGTCTGAATTTTGCAGGTGCAGACCTGCATCCCAGAGAGATGAGAGAGCTTGCCCAAAGCCACACAAGCTAGAGAGTGGGAGAGCCCAGATTCGCACCCGAGCAGCCAGCTCTGAGCCCCGCTCTCAGCCAGGAGGTTGCCTTGCACTAAGGCTCACCAGCTCCTGGAGAATTGCTTTAAGGCCTTTCTGTGACAGAGGAAATATTGAAGCTCTGTCTTGTTATAGAACAAGAATGTAGCTTTTGGATGGGCAACGCTGTAGCTTGAAGATTTTGCCTATTGACCAGCCATCACGTATCCTGTCTCTGGGAACTCAAGTGTGTGTTCCAGAGCTTTTATAGAGCACACAACGGATATTTTTGCACTTTGAAAGAAATCCCTCTGATTTGGGGAGGAAATCTTGTTCATCAGTGATTGGAAAGTTCATCAGTGATTGGAAAGATCACCAGTGATTGGCTCAAAGATGATGGAAAGATCTTTGTGTCTGCAGACATCCCCAAGTGTCCAGAACACTACATGAACTTTGCAGTCTTATTTTTATTGCTTTTTCATGATTTGCTTCCTGCTGGAAAATAAATCAGGTTTTTGTAAATATTAGGGAAATTGAATAATGTAGGGTTCTTGTGAGTTGGGCATTGCCTTACATCTGTGTATTAAAGTCAGATTTTTTCCCCATTTTTGTTCCAACTCACATCTTCCATAAATCCTAGAAATAAAGTAACTAGCATGTGTCGCACTAGTTTACTCCATGGTTTTAGTAGGAGGAGCTTCTGTTTATCACTTATCCCCATTTTCAAAGATTTCACATTTTGTGTGCTGTAAAACCCAATTTGGAGATGACTGTTCATATGGGGTGTTGTGATGAATCTGTGGCTGTGTCCTAGATTTATGAACAATGGATTGTTTTGAAGTCTAGATACAAATGCCACAAATATCCTGGCTGCAGACACAAATAGGATGGAGCACATTTGCATGTTGGCAGTGGAGGAAAGGAGACAGTAAAGGAGTTATTCAGTGCTGTGATTCTCAGAGAATAGAAGGGTATTCAGTCACAAACACTGATTCATACCCTCTAATCTCCTAATGAAATAAGTTCTACCTTTTGTTTTGTTAATAGTTGTTGATGAATTTCATTCATTCGGTTTCAAGATTTAGTGCGATTCCATAATAACACAAGGAAAGCAGTAGATACATTTAGAATATGTGCAACGCAAGATGAAAAATGCTTTGTCACCACATAAATTAGATTTGTTCTCCTGGGTTTTATTGAGAGTTTAATACAAGATATCATTTGTCTGCTTTTGATCTTTACAAACCTTATGGTGTTTCTAAAAGAATGTATAAGAGAACATATTTTCAATGTTTTTTTAAAAATCGCTTGGCTTCCTTAGAAAGCTCCAGTTTCATTATTTAACACATAGATAATCCTGGGGTCTCCTCTATTTTTGCTTAGAATGTTTTACTCTAAAGGCAAACTTGCTAACTTTCTAATAACGAAAGTGTTTTTTAAAGGCAGCTGCTGTGAATCCAGATTTCTTTGTGAAATCAGTGTCTCTGGAGTTGTGCTTATTTGTGTGGGTGTCTGTTTTAAAAGAGCTACTTGGTCAAATGTTACAAAAATATTATTGGAAGGTTAGGGAATTAAGTAAGGAGTAAATGGTAATGACATCACCTGGAAGCCACTGCCTGGCATTTTCTCTGTCTTTGGCACCATCAGCTAAGGTGAGAGTATCTGTCAACATGACACTTGGGTTTGGTTGGACCATGGATTCTGAGAGTTTCCCATGATGCCCCTGGGCTCCTGTGGACCAGAGAGGAAGGCTGAGAACTCTGTTCTCACATACTGGGTCTTGACTTTAACATTTGCTGTTAAATATTAACAGGCAATCAGCTGCTTCCTTATTCAGAAGAGGCCATGCTTCCTTTTTGAACATGTGGAGTGTATCAGGGCATCTCTGAAAGCCTACTTTTTGGTGTAGGAAGAATACTCAGCTGGCATTCCATATTGCTCTTCAGTACCCTCTCTGTTGTTGCCTGTAGTGTCTTTGTGTGTCCAGGGAACACTTCCAGGGTGAGGAAAGCCATGGGAATTGCAGGTGATGTGAAGTCAAATCAGACTTGACCCCTGCAGGCTTGTGAGGGCGATGGTACCCTGAAGCAAAGTGGAATCTGAGAAAGAGTGGACGAGAGGCTCAGGGGCACTTTTAGGGGCGCTCGTCCCCATCCTTACCATTGTCGTCCTCCTTCTCATCACCATGGTAGTCACAAGAGCAGCTCGCATCTCTTGACTGTAGTAACAGTGCTCATCACTTTACAAATAGCGTCTCAGTGAATTCTCTCAGAATCCTTTGAGGTTGGCACTTTTGTGATCCCATCATTTCAGTAGAGAAAATGAAACTGTCATGAGATTAAACAGCTTATCCCAGGTTTACAACCATCAGTGGCTGGACCAGGGTCTGAATGCCGCCGATCAGAGTGCGGACACTCTTGGAGCCATTCAGCTGTGCTGCCTCCTTGGGGGTCGAAGGGAGGTGGACAGGTGGTGAGTGCAGCCTGTCACACACAGAAGATCAGGTGTCAAGGAGCAGACACAGTGGAGCCAGGCCGTGGGGGCCCCATGAATGGGAGTTTGCTTAGAGTTCTGAATGGTGGATGGGGCAGCGGGAGGCAGGGGTACAGGCAGAGTGTGGACAGCTTCAAGTTAGTTGATTATTGCTTAATTCAACAGAAAGTTATGAAGCACCTTCCTAGAACCAAGCACGGTGGTGGGTAGTGGAGGTGCAGAGCTGAGTAGGTATGGTCTCTAGTTTAGTGGGAGCAGAGACATGAACACAAGTCAGACCATTCGGCTTCCCAGGAAAACCCTCGAAGGACAGGCAAGACTCAGGGAACTGAAGGAAGAGGAGGTGTTTTGCAATTTCTTAACTTGACTTAAAAAAAATCTGCCCAAGACCTATCCTCTGCCCAAGATCAATCTTTCTCCTCTGGCCATGACGTGTCCAGAAGATTTACTTCCGTAGCGTATTACTGGTATTGTGTTGATTTAATAACAGGAGCTTCTATTCTATAATAGGATGCTTCTAAGGAAGACAAAAATAAAATCAGTTTGTGGGGAGGAGGGAAGGGAAAGAGACAAAGCTGGCTCGTGGTAGTTTAGTTTTTAGACACTTTTGACAAGTCTTCACTCCCAGCTCCCAGGCTGTGACTGTCTGCCCACTGCAGGGCCCTTCCCAGGTGTTTGTGTGTTTTGAGTTGTTAGAAGCACCTTGGACCACACACGCCTTTCTGTTGGATGCTGAAAATTCGGTTGCTTTGGGCCCACTCTTTTGTCTGATGTGACTAACCCCCAGTGACAAGCTTTTCTGTGGCTAAAACATCCTGGCATCGGGTGCCCGGGCTTCAACCCCTTTGCTGGTTAAAAGTCCTTGGCCACTCATGCCCTTCCCTGGAGACAAGCTTTGTGTCTGGTGTCATACTTGGTGGATTCGCAGAAGTATCCTGGCAACACAGTGCCTTATATCAGCATGCAGGGGTCACCCATCATCTGGACTAGGGACGGACAGCATGTCCTGTGTTGGTTTCACTGGTGGATGCACAAGGCATGGCCCTTGCGTCCTCCAGCTCCCACTCCTGGTTGGAGCCACGGGGCTCCTGCGCAGCAACCCATCTCCTGTTTGGTCAGAACCGTCCAGCTCAGGGTCATCCCCTGCAGGCAGCCTCTGGAACCTTGGAGGGGAAGTCTTCCCAAATCATATTTTCTCTGGGGTTCCAATTCTGTCTAACCTTAGACTATGCCTTCTGGGACTGTCTTATATTAATAGCGGGCTCCCCTGGTGGCTCAGATGGTAAAGCGTCTGCCTGCAATGTGGGAAACCCAGGTTCAATCCCTGGGTTGGGAAGATCCCCTGGAGAAATAAATGGCTATCCACTCCTGTACCCTTGCCTGGAAAATCCCATGGATGGAGGAGCCTGGTAGGCTACAGTCCATGGGGTCACAAAGAGTCAGACACGACTGAACAACTTCACTTTCCTTTCCTTTTATGTTAGTAGCATATATGTGCTAAGAGACTTAGTTGCTCAGTCTTATCTGACTCTTTGTGACCCCAGGGACTCAAGCCCACTAGGCTAATCTGTCCATGGAATTCTCCAGGCAAAAATACTGGAATGGGTAGCCATTCCTTTCTCCAGGGAATCTTCTAGACCCAGGGATTGAACCCAGATCACCTGCGTTGCAGGCAGATTCTTTACAATCTGAGTCACCAGAAAAGCCACCAATAGCAAACATATGTGTGTGTGTGTGTGTGTGTGCGTGTGTGTGCGTGTGCGTGTGTGTGTGTGTGTGTATGTGTGTGTTGTTCAGTTACCCAGTCCTGTCCAACTCTGTGACCCCATGGACTGCAGCATGCCAGGCCTCCCTGTCCCTCACATCTCCCAGAGTTTTCCAAGTTCATGTCCATTGCTTCAGTGATGCTGTCCAGCCATCTCATCCTCTGACACTCTCTTCTCCTTCTGCCCTCAGTCTTTCCCAGCATCAGGGACTTTTTCAGTGAGTCAGCTGTTTGCATCAGGTAACCAAAATGCTGGAGTTTCAGCTTCAGCATCAGTCCTTCCAGCAAGTATTCAGGGTTGATTTCCCTTAGGATTGACTGGTTTGAGGTCCTTGCTGCCCAAGAGACTCTCAGGAGTCTTCTCCAGCACCACAGTTCGAAAGCATTAATTCTTTGGCACTCTACCTTCTTTATGGTCTAACTCTCACAACTGTACATGACCACTGGGAAGACCATTGCCTTGACTATGTGAACCTTTGGTGCCAGAGTAATGTCTCTGCTTTTCAACACACTGTCTAGGTTTGTCATAGCTTTCCTGCCAAGAAGCAAAATTCTTCTGATTTCATGACTGCAGTCACCATCCACAGTGATTTTAGAGCCCCAGAAGAGGAAAGCTATCGTTACTTCCACCAGAATGGAGAACCCCCATGGACAGAGGAGCCTGGAGGGCTATAGTCCATGGGGTGGCAAAGGGTCAGACCCGACTGAGCAGCTAGGCACAGCGCACAGCATATCTCTAGTTCACTATTGTTCTCATATTTATGGTTTGACTGTTGGTGGGGTTGCTGCAATACTGTTCACTGTTCAGTGAGCTGCTCTCTCCTCTTTGAGGGCAGCGGCTGGTCTGTAGTGCCCAAAGTGAGAGGAAACCAAAAGCCCAGGACTTCTTTGACCTTAAGCTTAACTTTGGACTTAGGTAAGCTGGGGCTTCAGCCATCGCTCTCTAAACACTGAATGTGTGAATCAGAACTGATGCAGTGTTTCTGTCACCACAGTCATTTGAGATGCTTGTTACACAACGTAGATTCCAGACCTGTCCTATAAGAGGGTCTGAGGGATGCAGCCGTGTAACAAACGCTGCAGGTGTGAGAGCCGCCCAGGCACTGGTGGAGACTCAGACTTGCTGGAACTCTTCCCTCACGAGTGAGTGTTGCCTTTTTCAGTCACCCTGGGTGAATCCTCTGCTTCTCTGCTCCAGTTCTGAATCTCCTTTTGTGCAGCTTCCCTGAGACCTGGGCCACACTCTTCTGAACACCCTCCATGGAGACAGGACTTACTGATGTTAAGTCGTTCAGGGCCATGGCAAATAAGGAGGCTCATCAAGCTGGTTACTACCATTTGTGGTCAGAAAGAAACCAGCCTGTAAGGAGAAGGGTCTTCTCATATCTCATGAGCTGTCTGTGAATATTGCTCCCAAAGAGGAGTCCCCAAGCTGCTTTGAGCTCTCACGGTCTGGCTCTTGCGTGTCTGTAAAACATCTCCAATTATTTTGATAAACTGTGTGCATTTGGAGGAATTCTGGTGGTGTTTTTTTTTTTAAAGGAAAGTATCTTCCAGCTATGCCTTAGTCCTGTTAGCAAGCCCCCTTTCCAAAAAGCAACATTGGTTAGAGCCCAGGTGGGGTCTTCCCAAATTGTGAACACTGTTGGTTAATAGTTACCATCTCCCATGCCACCCCTCCCACCATCTTCTGTGAGCCCAGCTGTAGATTTGTGAGATATTTAATCCCTTTTGATTGTTATCCTGAGATGTTATAATCATAAGGAAGTAACACAAATATTGTATGCCAAAAAGTTCGTTCAGGCTTTTTGGTAAGATAGGATGAAAACCCTGAATGAATGAACTTTTTGACCAATCTAATACCTTTTTCTTGGTCATTGAAATGTTGGGGAAAAAAACAACCAGCATACTAATTATAGAATGCTGAGTAAAGACTAGGTAATGGGAGGCAGAAAACCTGACCTCTGAAGCCCATCTTGCTATTTCCCAGATGTGTGTCCTTGGCCACACCACCTAGTCCCCGAACTGGGCAAAGATTGTCACAAAGCCTGCGTGAGGATTTAAGAGACCCCAGTACTGGATGGTATCCAAACATGGCTCCTGCCTCATAGAAGGTTCAGTGATAAGAGTTGTTTGCATCTGAATCCCAGCAGCTTGATTCGTTAAGTGCAGTGCATACTGTGCTTTGGTCTAGGGAAGTAAAGGGGATGGAGGAAGAAAAGAGGAGAGACTTCATGTGAAGGGACTAACCTCTACTTTGCAGTGGAAATGAATATTCAACCAAAGAATGCCGAAGGGGAATGAATCAATAGACTCCAAGCAAATCCCACGTGTCCCCATGTTGCCAGAGCGCTGGGGATGGGAGGCCAAGGGTTCTTCCACCCCTCCGCAGGGGAGGATGGGAGGAGGGTTACTGGCAAAGATGTCACTGTAATTATAGACTCTTCGTTTCTGTTTAAAAAGCCACCACTTTAAATGTGACTCCCAGCAATTACAAATCAATTATAACCCATAATCAGACCTCCGATTTTTCAAGTCTGTGGAATCTCTCAGTATAGATATAAATCCTTCTTAGCGTAAGGTCAGGAGTTCAGTGAGATCATTCAACTAGTGAGTCCAAAGGAAGTTAACTGGAACTAATTATCACTCGGCTCTCTGATAGCAAACTACTGCCTTCATAAGGGATTATTTGTTATTTCTTCCAGGCAATTTCTTTCCTCACACCTCTGGCTGTTATTTGTGTGGTGAAAATTATCCGGCGGACAGACAAGACTGAAATTAAGGAAGCCTTCCTAGGTAGAGTATTCCCAGTTCCTGCTTTAGGGGATGGGGCTGAACTTCAGTAGATCACCAGATTTCGAAAAATCTCAGTTGCACTCAACTGATTTTTCTCTTAGTCAAATTAAGCTTGGTAGACACAAGACAAGGTAAACGTTTAGCCCTTTTAAAAGAGCCAGTGCGTGGTAAGTAGCTCATCTGCTGGCCAGCCCATCACCGCTGTCCCTTGTGCTGAAAATGAGTGTCAGGCTCCTAACCTGTGCTTCCTAAGCAAACTGGAAGGACAGCTCTTGGCTGTAAGGCAAAGTGAATCTGAAGCTTTGTCACCACTGACTGTCCAACCCCACATTTGTGACTAATAAGCCCCCATTTGGGGCAATTCAGACATCAACCACAGACTCCTTGACCAGTCACCATTGACTGGAAGCAAAAATGTGGAAAAGCAGATGTAAAATTTAATATAAATTGGAAACAAGCTCCATAACTCATTGCCACTGTGGGGACATTTTGGCAGTTAATCAGTTGTTATTATATAAAGAATGCTACAATCTTTGCCATCAAGTATGACACGATGCTTATAAATTCTCCCTAAGCTGAGCCATATCTGCGTGTGACAGGAGTTTGATATTTTTAGGGTTAAATCCATTTTTTTTCCTGATCTGTATATTAATCAAAAGACAAAGTAAATGACAGCATGAAGAGAAAGCAGAACTATTTGGCTTGTTTAGCAAAATAAACTCCCCAGAAGCCAGGGTTTTAGCTTTTTGATCATCAGGAATACTGAATTGGGTTTATTTTCTGACATGACACCTTGACGTTACCCAAACTCTCACACACATTGTGTTGTTGGTGTGTTGTGTAGGCTCACCATTCAGTAAGGTAGTAAATCTGGAAATATGAGATTCTTCACTAAAGATGGTGTTTGTTAATTGCTGGACTTTGAGGAAATGAAAAACGTAGCAAACTTCGATCTTCCCTGTTCTTTGTAAGGGAAGGAGGGTGGGTGTGAGTTCTAGGGTGTGCAGAGCAGTGGAAGGACCGGGGCCGTTTCTTACATAGCCAGGCTTTGGTTAGGCTCTGTGTAGTTGAAAAGAACAGAGTTCTTTTCAAATTGGATCGGGTAAATTAGAGGTTTGGTTATAGGACTATAACAAGCAATCTTACAAACCTTCAGGAATCAGAGGGGAAACCCTTGTGGGGATGAAATAGGGATCCAGGCCATGAGGGGCAGAGGCGCCCTGTCGCCTTATGCCCCCCCCTCAGTGATGCGTCCTTCCTCTCTGCTCAGTCCCTGCCTCAGTCTCCTGTGAGGATGTCATCTCTACTGCCTGCATCTTGGTCTGTGTGAGGCTTGGGCTTGCGCTGGTGGGTGCCCCTGGCCCACGCCTGTGTGACTGCTCAGCCCCAGCGCCAGCTCCAAGCGTCACTGCATCCTGTGGTCCAGACTTCCCAGGCGGAGACTCTGGACTTAACTCAAGTCTCAAGCCTGGATGCAAAAGTCCCGCGTCTCTGGCTGGCCTGTGGATGCTCTGCTTGAAGACAGCTGTGTTCCCCAGGCTGCTCACCTGTGCTTTGAGGCTCTGGTCACCACATGGTCTGTGTCTCTTCAACTGAGGTGGTAGAAAGGTCATGTTTTCCAGGAAGGGTGTAGATGCCCTCCCTCTTGAGGCTTAAGCAGTTGGGACAGCGTTTGGGCAGATATCACTGTGGTCCCCAAATGTCCCATTGGGAGCCTCTCTCAGTTGACCTGGAAATCTCTTTGCCCCACTTGCTATTCTAGCTGCTCCCCTGACACTGAGTCCTGAGACATATGGTTGTGGGTAGGAACTGTCTTTCATGGTTACAGTTATAATTTACTGGCTGCTTTTGGTGCTGGGAGATTGTTATGGCCTTGAGGAGCTTACGGTTACTTTCTCTAGACCTTTTCATTCTCAGCCAAATCTCCCTTAGGATGACACTTCAAAATTGTACACCATACCTGTCCTCCTATATGTTAATGGAGAAGGTGGAGTTAATTAGATGTTCTGTTTGCCCAGATAAATGAGAGGCTGCCTTGTAAAAATGATGAAGAACCTCCCTTTGTTCACAATTTAAAAAAAAAGTTGCCACTTTTAGGAAGTCTTGGAAGGGGCTGGCGGGAGTGACCTTTCAAAACCGAGGACAGAAAACTAGGTATAGCTTTTTCTCCATTATCTGGAATTCAGGACTTTCTCAGGGAGGGTGGATTGGTCTGAGGTCCCTTCTTTACCCAGGCGTCTTCAGCAGACCTGGACCCTAAGAATGCCCCTTAGCTGCCTGTCCACAGAAGCCCCCTTTGTGCATCTGTTTGTGTGCAAGTAAGGCTCGCCCCACCCAGGGATTTGGCTGCAGAACGGCCAAGACGGTGTTAATAGCGAACCTTGTTTTGGAAGGCCTGCAATGTTGAATTCCCAACAACAGCAAAAGTGACAGCAACAAAACCCCTCTAATCCTCTGGGGGTGCTTGTAAGCAGGAGCACCCTCAATACAGGCCACTTGCAGGCCAACTCACATGACACATTGCTTTGCATTTCTTTATCAGAACACAGTCTGGCTTGTCTTTCTGACTCTCCTCTCAACCCCGTAGTGCTGTGGAATGCTGTTGATGCACCCCTCATGAACCAGATGCCTTGGGTTCTTGTTAATCAACAAGCCAGCCCCCCATGATTGGGGTCATCCATTTCCTGCTCGGCCAGCCTTTCATGCCCCTTCTCTCAGCCCAGCCTTCCCTGTGGTGTCAGTGAGAGGTCCCCTGTCCGGGTCCCCTGGAGGTTGTGCTATGCAGATGAACGTAGTAATCGGTTTACTTACTTCCGGAAGGCTGTGACGCTTTCCACTCAGATCCTTGCTCTCTTCTGTCTCCTTGAGGCTTTTGGATCAGAGAGGGAAGGTGCCAATTGTTGGTGCTTCCATCACAGCCTCACCTTTTCTAGCTCAGCCACTTGAAGCTTTTCAGAGAATTGCTCTGCACTATAGTAAACCCAGCCGGGGCAGAGGTTGGGGACGTGTATGATGTTCTGGATTGATGTCGTGGTCTCTGAACTTCCCCAAGGGCACTGGGAGGTCAGCTAGTGATGCTTGTTCCTGGAGACCTTTTCTGTGCAGAGGCCTTGCTAGGACCAGGAGGAGAATGAGTTCAGCCCCTCTGGGAAAACACAGCAGCAGTGAGCCTGCTGGACCAGCCCTAACAAGAAAAGACCCCTATCATCTCAGGGCAGTCTCACAGCCTGTTAATGTCGTGGTTTGGGGAGAATCCTGCACAATGATGGCCCAGGGAATTCTGCCTCCTCTCTGCATAGGAAACCTCTCAGCAGTACTCCAAGCTTGTAAGAGAGAAGGGAAGCCAGCATTTTAGGAAGAAAGGGTCTGTGCATGCAGAGTGTAATCAGCAGATGTCTCCAAGTTCTTCCATGCTTGCTTCCAGGTTACACACCCCGTTGCACGCTGGGTGCTTTAATGGTGGTCCGGTGCTGCTGACTCATGCCCTGATCTGCACCCAGGGGGCCCAGCCCTCCTTTCCAGCTATTGCAATGTGGCCCATCCTCCACTAGTCCCTCCACTATGGGGACTAGTTTCCCTTTGACAAAGGTGCTCATTTGAACTGGTCCCTCCCATTCTCTCTGCTTCCCCATGACTTGATACAAGCAGGTGGGTTTTTTGCCTCTATCTCAGTGGCCTATGCCCTTAGTGACTGTGTTATGTCTCACAGCCTGTTAATGTCGTGGTTTGGGGAGAATCCTGCACAATGATGGCCCAGGGAATTCTGCCTCCTCTCTGCATAGGAAACCTCTCAGCGGTACTCCAAGCTTGTGAGAGAGAAGGGAAGCCAGCGTTTTAGGAAGGAAGGGTCTGTGCATGCAGAGTATAATCAGCAGATGTCTCCAAGTTCTTCCATGCTTGCTTCCAGGTTACACACCCCGTTGCACGCTGGGTGTTTTAATGGTGGTCTGGTGCTGCTGACTCATGCCCTGATCTGCACCCAGGGGGCCCAGCCCTCCTTTCCAGCTATTGCAATGTGGCCCATCCTCCACTATGGGGACTAGTTTCCCTTTGACAAAGGTGCTCATTTGAACTGGTCCCTCCCATTCTCTCTGCTTCCCCATGACTTGATACAAGCAGGTGGGTTTTTTGTCTCTATCTCAGTGGCCTATGCCCTTAGTGACTGTGTTGACTGTTCACTCTCCTTTCCATTTGTAGAATAACACATTTGTCTCCCCTGATGATCACGAACTGCTCCAGGCAGCTCCTTCCTGAAAGTGGCCCTCCACTGCTGTTTCCTTACATAAATCTCAGCTAGTATTGAACAGTTAATACTTGCCAAAGGGAAATGGTAACTCACATGCTTTATTATTCAACAAAGCAATGGAATGGGGCATCGATAGGTTTTTATTGCTTATGCAAAGCATTTGACCTTTCATCGCATTGACTTGCCTTTTGTGTAGTCTTGATAAACACAAGAGAGGGACGCAGGGGCCTTGCAGGGAAAACTCCATGACTCATTTCACCTGCTTCCTTTGGACAATCTGTACTTCATTAGCAAAGTCCTTCCAAGCTGCTTGGAGAAATTCCCCAGGCTGTCTATTTTTGAAGAATGTCATCCAGAAGTGCCTACTGTTTTAGGTGGCAGAAAGAACCACCTGGGCAAACCTTTACAAACACCAGTAATGAGGTATTGAGACACTTCACCTTCTTAGAAATAGTGATTTGTTTGATAACAAGTGGACAGCCGTCAGCAGGGGACCGGTCAACAAGGAGGTGATGGCTGAGTGGGCACGCCTGTTTGCAGAGGGATTCCTGCAGCTGCTCTGATTAGAATTATGTCTGAGAATGTTGCCAGAGGGATTAAAATGTTATGTTTCTTGCTACCAGTAAAAGAAATTCTACATGCTGTAGTATTAAATCTGTTCTATCAGGTCAGAACATGATACATAGGCTTCTCTGTGATATTGAAAATTTTAGTCTAGGAGGAGAGATGAATTTCATGTCATAGAGGCTTGGAATTTTATGAACTTTCACTCTCCAAAGTCCAGTTCTAATTATGTTTTACTCTAGCCACTCGAACTTCCCTCCTTTTTTAAAAGCATTGGTTCATATTTCTATGGTCATAAATTAAATAGTGTGATTGAAAAGTAATGATGATGATGATGGTAATGATGATGATTTTGATTTGAGAGCCAGCTGGTTATTTTTCTGTTTGTTGGTTTTGTTTTGTAGCTGTGTCCTTGGCTCTTGCTTTGAATGGAGTCTGCACAAACACTATTAAATTGATAGTGGGAAGGTAAGTTCCAAAAAGAAACAAGTAGTGACTTAGAGTCTCAAGGTCAGCCATATAGAAACCTTGGCCACAGGAGGGACGGATTGGAGCTCATCTGGTCTTCCCTTAAATTGTTGTCTTTCTGGGGTTTCTGTCCTCAACTCAGATCTTTCCTCTCCTTTGAATGATGAACTCACTATTTCAGTAAGCAGGACATCAATAGTAAAGAAATATCTAATGACTATACTTTTATGGGGACCAAAGTCAAGAAAGCCATTTCCATTTCCAGACCACTGCTATTCCAGGGCCTCACCAGACACCCACTCACTTGTCAGTTTTGGCATCCGAAAAATAGATAATCTTGCTTATTTATCATTCTCTCTGGGACAAGCAATATGGATTAGTATTTGAGCTGTGACTCGTGACAAATTTCTCTTACCCTCCTGGGAGATGATTTCTATTTTCTGTTTATCTTGCCTTCTCCCCCAAATGTTCTGTAAGTGAGCTAGTCTCTGTAGAGAAAAACAGTCAAAAGATCTGAGTTCGAGACCTGACTTAGGCCCTGACTAGCTGTTGGCCTTGGACAGGTTGGTTTCCCTTTCGGAACCTCAGTATTTAGTGGTCAGGTACTTGGTGTGCAGTGCTGGTCAGGCACTGAGGGGGTAGGAGATGGATATAGATTGGTTAGCGAGTGACCTTGGGCTGCATTGTCCTTCCAACTTTCCGAGCTTGGAGTTGCTGAGGGCCCAGGGAAATGCTGACTCCCAGGTCCTCTCTGAGGCTCTGGTTCCTTAGGTGAATAGCCACACTTGGAGAAACACATAGGGGAGAGACAGCACACCAACAGTTCTGATAGATTATTGATAATCAATACGTTATAGATACTGATAGATTGTTATTGGGCCAAGATCCCAGAGCTGGAGGACCAGTGAGCCCTTATAGTTCACAGTGAGAACCATATGAGCTGTAACCCAGTATGTGCAGAAAAGGGGGACTGTGTTTACCATGTTAGAAAAACCTTGTCCATGGCAGGCATCTGGAAAAGTTAGTTGAATTCATGTGAAGAATCCACCATCACTCATCAGCGTGAGAATCCGCACTTGAGTGAAGTAGACACATGTGGGGTGTGGTGTGTAGGTGCAGGAATCCAATTGCCAGGGTTCAGAGCTTGTCTTTGCACTTACTGGTTGTGTGTGACCTTGGGCAGGAGTGTGATCTTTCTAAGCCTTCATTTTCACACGTGTGAAATGAAGGAAATTCCAGGACCTGCCCCAGGGTTGTCGTAAGAATCGTATGATGTGACCCATGGGTAGTACTTAATGCTGGGTCTGGTATGCAGTAGGTAGTCAGTACATGTTAGCCATGGTTGTGGCAGCTGACTCGGCCTTGGGGCCAGCTGTCCCCTACCTACTTCCCCCACAACCTGGACCATGAGCTGGCCTGGTGACTGTGTGCCCTGGACCAAGAGCTGGCCTGGTGACTGTGTGCCAAAGCTTGGAACTGAGTTTTCAGGTCTTCTCAGTGAGGTTAAGTGAGACCTGCTCTTTAAGGAAGTGTAGGCAGTTGGCCATCAGATTCAAGATATAGGGCCGTGAGGAGCCTGGAGGCTTGGATCCTGGTAGCAGCCTCTGACTAGTGGAGCCATAGATGGAGCCATGGCTCCATCTTTATTTCACCAGCGCTTTGCTCAGGTGGCTCCCGGAAGTCATCTCATTTGACCTTCCGTACCTCACTTTTGAGTAGGTATTGATATCCCTTTTTTACATATGTGGAGACTGAGGGTGGTGATGCGACTACCTAAGTCATAAAACTAGTAAGTGGCAGAGTGGGGAATTCCAGCCCAGGTCTTTCTGACCCTGAAGCCTGAGCTTTGCCCAAGCCCACAGTGTCTTCCTGTGGGGGCTGCAGTGGTGATGGCAGAAGAAGGAACTGGGGCAGCAGCAGGGGTCGGCGGGGTCAGCTGGGGTTTGTTTGTGATGGCAGCATTTTATATTGAAACTGTCCATGGTGTCTTTTGTAGACCTCGCCCCGATTTCTTTTACCGCTGCTTTCCAGATGGAGTGATGAACTCGGAAATGCACTGCACCGGTGACCCCGATCTGGTGTCCGAGGGCCGCAAAAGCTTCCCCAGCATCCATTCCTCCTGTAAGTTCCCTGGTTGGGAGACTGATTCCTAGGTCGTGTCTCCTAATCGTGTCTCTTTTTGGGAATTCAGGTGGAGGGAAAAGAGTCGATACCTGAATGTCAAGTGTGGTTCACTTTTCTTCACTGTAGGGCAGTTGTCTTAGAAACAAGACATTCCCCAGGAAGAAATAAGCCTGAGACCTAGACTCTGGAGTTTACCAAACATTGTGTGTGTGGCTCTTGTCAACTCAGCAGAGTGAAACTTGTGACATTTTACCCTTTGGCAGTACCCATCAGGATCCTGACAGTGCAAGGGAATTAACCGTGTCCCCTGGGACCTCATGCCTTTCAGCTCAGTGTTCTCTCTAGTTTACTCCTTCAATGAAAGTTTTGTGTGTCTGTGTGTGTGTGTACTGTACCAACATATAGCATATAGGTGTATGTATATACATGTGTATACACCCCGTCACCCCTAATATATAGTCTGATTATAGGTATGTAAGCTGGGACCAGCCTTAAACTAAATAATGTGAACCAGGTGCAGTGTGGTATAGTGGACAGCATGCAGGTCTTTGAAGTGTGACAAATCCGGGCTATGCCAGGTACGAACTGTGACTTAACCTCTCTGTGCCTCAGTTCCTGCTGTGTAGACTGGGAATGATAAGGCCTCCACTGTTAGTTGGAGTGAGGGTTAAAATAAGTGATGGTGATCATTTCTGGAGCATCACCATGCCAAAATGTTTCAGTGCATTATCTTATTTAATCCACTCTGTGAATGTTGAGTACTTGGTATCATGCTTTAAATAAACCAAGTTATCCATGTCAGAGTGTCCTGGTCACATCTTCTTTCATTCCATCAGTGTTTACCAAGTGACTCTGGTGCCATACATTGTGACAGGTGCTGGGGACATGGAGATAAATGAGCCACAGCTCGTGTCCTGGGGAGTCCCTAGGCAGTGGCAGGCTGTGTATTTAGGTTGGTGATTCTGAAATCCTTGTAGAGGAACCAGGCCCCCAGGTGACCACTTGGGAGAGGACCAGCTACTCTTATGAATTGAAGTCCTTGATTCCCCACAGGTCGGATCGTTGTTTACCTTGGTCAAGCCTGTTACCCTCATCCTTTTTCTTATTTCTAAGTGGCTAATACACACCCTGATAGTGGCTGGACCAAGGAGTAACTGGATGGCCTTTCCTGCAGAGTGGTAGTTGGCCATTTTGCTCAGAGTCACTAGAGAACAGGGCCTGTCAGCAATATCGGGGTACCCGGCACTCTGAGTGACTCTCCGTCAGCCTGTGCCACAGCCCTGCCAGGTCTGGCTGGCCCCACTGTGTGCATAGGGACAGGGAGGCTTAGACAGACTCAGCAGATTGTTCAAGGACACTAGCTGACCTTCATGCCAGCCTCTAACGTGATAGTGTCTTGGACTTTTGATGGTTAAACAACAAATACAAGAAGGTATTCACACTTTGGCCACCTGATGCAAAGAACTGACTCATTGGAAAAGACCCTGATGCTGGGAAAGATTGAAGGCAGGAAGAAAAGGGGAAGACAGAGGATGAGATGGTTGGATGGCATCACCACCTCGATGGACATGAGTTTGAGCAAGCTCCGGGAGATGGTGATGGACAGGGAAGCCTGGCATGGTGCAGTCCATGGGCTTGCAAAGAGTCAGACACGACTGAGTGACTGAATTGATTCACAGTCTACGTTCATTTAAATAAATAACTTTTTCTCCCCTAGTTTATTGGAGACTTTAGTGGGTTGAATAATGGCACCAAAAAAAAATTTTTGTCTAGATCCTAGCCCACAGGACCTGTGAATGTGACTTTATTTGAGAAAGAAAAAGTCTTTGTAGATGTCATTAAGTTAAGTATCTCAAGATGAGTTCATCCTGGCTTTAGGTTGGGCTGTAAATCCAATGATAGATGTCCTTATAAGAGAAAAGCAGAGGAATATTGAGACTTAGAGACATGGGGAAGGAGGTCATGTGAAGATGGAGGCAGGAACTGATGTGATATAGTCGCAAGCCAAGGAACCCTGGAGCCACTAGAAGCTGGACGAGGCAGGAAGGAGTCTCCCCTGAAGCCTTCAGAGGGACTGTGGACTGGCCAACACCTTAATATGGGACTTCTGGTCTCCAGAACTGGGAGGGAATACATTTCTTTCATTTTCAGCCTGCAGGTTTTGTGATGATTTGTCACAGTGGTATCCATCAGGCTTCTTGGCCTTTCCCAGTCAATAGGAATTGACTAGAGGCCAGATAAGAAACTCAGGCAAAGTTTTATTGGCGGCCCTACTGCAGCATGGGAGAGCAAGAACAAGCAACAGGTTTCCGTTAATCCCCGAGCAGGGTGCAAGCTTGCTCCTTGTACGGGTGAGGGTAGGGCTGTGTCCAGGGATCAGGCCGAGGGGCTGGCTTAGGTGTTTTGCCTACCCCTCAGGTGGTGGTGTGTGCAGGACCCTGCTTTTGCTCCCAACATTCTGTGCTCCAGGCTCCTCAGAAGTGGCCGTTGAATTTCTTGGTCTCTTTGTATCTTTTGTCCAGAATTTGCCCCACCTGCACGTGCACACAGCTGTTTTTAGACCCTACAGTTTCTTTGTATTTTGTTGCTCAAGTAGAGGTGTGTCCAGGTGCAAGCATCACAGCACTGCAGGGAAGGTCCCAGGTCCCAGGCCTCTCAACAGCAGCCCTGAGTAAGGAACAAGGAGACAGACTGAACACATACTGGTTAACAGAGAGGTCTGGCTTTAGAGCCTTGGAGGTGGGGAGGGGAGATTGACAGAACGTGTGTTCCTGAGGTTAATATGGCCAGGGGCACGGCATGCATGAAGGCTTAGGGATCACGGTGTTTTTAGGCTCTAGTCTTTCCTTTTATGGGCGAGCATCCGTTTGGAATCATCACTTCCTCTCTGAGCTGCTTCTTCCTCTCTGAAGTCATGTTTTAAGTCAGTCTTGGAGATTGTGTAGGTGCCAGTTGGAGGAAGGTCTGCTATATTGATTTTGTCTCCTTGTTATCAGGAATTCCCTGGCTGGCCTTTTTTAGATGTACCTGGGATAGTATTCACCTGGGGCTGTCTTCCATCTGCTCTGTATCTGTATCCTTGCGGGGTCACTCAAGTTCTCTGCAGTTTCTGGTTTCCCAAAGATTTGGTGCTGAGCTTTAAGTTCAGTTCAGTTCAGTTCAGTCACTCAGTCGTGTCCGACTCTTTGCTACCCCATGAATCGCAGCATGCCAGGCCTCCCTGTCCATCACCAATTCCTGGAGTTTACTCAAACTCATGTCCATTGAGTCAGTGATGCCATCCAGCGATCTCATCCTCTGTCATCCCCTTCTCCTCCTGCCCTCAATCCCTCCCAGCATCAGGGTCTTTTCCAGTGAGTCAACTCTTCGCATCAGGTGGCCAAAGTATTGGAGTTTCAGCTTTAGCATCAGTCCTTCCAATGAACACCCAGGACTGATCTCCTTTAGGATGGACTGGTTGGATCTCCTTGCAGTCCAAGGAACTCTCAAGAGCTTTAAGGGGCTTTAAAAGTTATTAGCAGTAAGAAGTGAAACCCTTTGGGGAAAGCTTCATCCCAGTGTTCGGATGGTTAACTGAGGACTGCAGCACAGTTTTGTATCTACCATTGCATCTGAACTCGGAAGGAAATAGCTCGCATGTGAATGACTCATACTAGGAGACTGCTGGATTGCAAAGTAGCGATCAGGGCCCACAGAAGTTTCTTTTAGAGGCACACTGTCCTTGTCAAATGCATTTCCTGGTGGGTCTGCCCACCAGCTGTCTTGTCCCTTGGGAGGCTGATGTCTCTTCTGTGCTCCACAAGCTTTCTGACGGAGGCTATTACTATCTTTTGCTTAAGATGTGCTTAAAATGTTAAGATTTTACTGTTTGGCTTACAGAATCCTCCCTAGCCTCTAGGCTTTTGGTGACTCTTTTCCTTTGCTCTTTTTTATGACAGATCAGTGATTGCCTTGCAGGCAGCTGCCATATCCAGTTAGAAAATCATCAGTGCTGCTTTCTGGATTTCTTACTGTAGCTGGTAGGAAGCCTAGAGGTTGGTGTGACTCATTGCTCCTTAGAGGAGGTGGTGGGCCTCAGAAGGAGTGACCTCAGTGGACTCCCGTTTTGATACACAGGCTCTTTCCCCCTTCAATAAAAATCCATTTTTGTGGGTTGCACTTGAGTGAGTGGACTCAGGGATTCTGGACCAAGGGACCTCTGGAGACGAATCCCCCATTCTGGGTAAACATGGGTTTCCTTCTGCTCTGTTCACAGATAATTGGTGACTGGAAGGTAGTCGACGTCCACATGTAGATGTCATCCTGCAGATCAGTTGGTTTCCTTTGAACAGAAGAGCAAACACTAATGTCTTTTGGAAACCAAAGATCTTTTTCCTAGTTTACCACAAGCAGTCAAGCGGCACTGCCCTGAAGGGCTCGTGTGACAGCCTCTCAGCACATAGCGTGCCCTGTGGCAGCCATGTTAGGGGACTGGCTCTGCGAGGCACAGCTTCAAAGGGCAAGTGATTTCCTTCAGAGTTTTGAGAAGCTTGGGCTCTAAAGTGGAGAAAGGCGATGTGGCTTCAAAGCAAGGGTATTCTGTCAAGAGAACTGTCTTTCATCACATTATCTCAGCTTTTGATTGGGTGTTGTTTCAACTTGTAGAAAGAGGATAGACCTCAGAGAGAAAAATTGAAAAAAAAAAAAAAATCTTATTATTACCAAGTCAAGGTATTAAGAAACTTTTTTCTATAAAATGGTGGGAATGAACAAAGTGATACTGTAGTCCGTGGTCAGCAAATGACAGCATGTGCGCTGCCTGTTTTTGTAAATAAAGTTTTATTGCAACACAGAGGTGCCCATCACTTACATATTGTGTGTGGAAGCTTTTACTTTATAATGGCAGAGTTGGTAGTTGCAAAAGAGACCTGGCCCACAAACATACTGTCCATAGTCCAAACAAATAGTATTAAAAAGCATTACTTCAGGGTTCCTGGTGGGGGACAGAAGAATAGGCC